AACCACTCTTTGCATTCTTGATCCTAACCCAATGGTGGAAAGCCCCGAAAAACGCCGAAAACCCTCATTCCGTCTCACTAACATGATCCGTCTCATCCCGAAATCCCCTCAGACCAGAAACCCGAATCCCCTCAATACGCCTCACTACCTCAGAAATCAATGGCCTACTATCCGGATACTGAGCCGTACAATCAATGCCCAGCTGCAGCAGTTGTACCATCTCCTCCTCTTCCGAAGCATTGTTGTACCTCACGAGCTCGACATCAAAAACCTCCGAGTTCCACTCTTCCTTCACCACCGAATTGACCCATCTCGGCAAGTCAACACCTTCCTCGTTCAATAGTGGCGCTTTCCCTGTCAAGAGCTCGAGAAGGAGAACTCCGAGACTGTAAACGTCGGCCTTCTGAGAGATTCGTTGGGGTTCAGTGACTTCGGGGGCCCGATAGCCCGCGACCCTGTTTGGAGAAGATGGGGATCCCACAAGATTGTTGAGCCCGAAGTCTGAGACGCGGGCTTCGTGGGATTTGGTGAGGAGAATGTTGGAGGATTTGATGTTGCCGTGTGAGATGTTGGGTCCTTGTAAATGGAGGTATTCAATGCCACGGGCTGCTCCAAGGGCAATGGCAGAACGGGTTTCAAAGTTTAATGGGGTTTTTCCAGATCCTTTGTTACCTGAGAAAATTAATAAAGGAGAAGAAAAAAAAAGGTGAATTGGTTATTGGTTTTGGTTAAATTTCATGGATTTTGGGGGAGGGTACTGTAAAATAAAGCGATTCTACGTTTCAGGGGGGACATAGAAAAATCAGTTCTTAAAGGCCCAATGCGCGTATTTGATTCAGATCGAACGAGAAGATGGAAACAAGCTGAAAGTGAAGTTCTGAATAGATTGCATTGTCAATGTAACTCAATGAAGATCATTAGCGTTGTGCGAATAAGAATAGGCCAGGGAATGAAGTAAACATTTGTAGATTGCAAGAACTGGCAGTAATGGTAATCATACTAAGGACTCTACCCAAGCAAGTTGACATACTTAATTGTGTTACTTATATCAGACAACCAAAATCTATCCATAATCATAAACCACATGCTCTTCTCATAAAAAGTTTCTGGTAAATGAACTAAAAAGCAAAAATCAAGCACAAACCCAAGTCCTACAAACTCTATGCAGAAGAAAAGACAAACAACTCAATTAGCAATTAGCCATGTCCAGAATCATAATCAGGAATTGAACCCAAAACTAAAAATTGCACATTAAAGAAAAACCTCTGTAAAAAAATACCACTCACCATGTAAAAGCGCAGAAAGGCTCCCCATCGGCATGTAATCGTAAACCAGAAGCTTCTCCTCCCTGCTGTAGTAATAAGCCCTAAGAGGCACCAAATTCACATGATCCATAGCCCCAACAGCTTCAATTTTATCCCTAAACTCTCTTTCCCCAATAGTCACATCCTTCAATCTCTTCACGGCCACCACAGTCCCTACCTCCAAAACTGCCTTGTAGGATGTCCCAAACGTGCCCTTACCCAAAACCTCGGCTGACGCTCTTAACAGCTCCTCTAGATCAAAAACCCTAGAGGCATTCCCGAAAAATATCAGCTTCTTCACATTGACTGCCGAATTTGTTCCAGTTTCACTCTTCGTGTTAACATTTGTGCCGATTGAACTCACAGCTGCAGCACCCACCGAAAACCCATTACTAACCCCAGTGTTATTTTCCTCGATGGACTTTTCATTAGGCTCATTTTCTTGTGTCTTGATTGCAGCTACATCCACTGACCTCACATTGTTTCCACTCCTTTTTCTGCACAGAAGAAACAAAACCAAGACCAGAAGAATCAACCCCACAACAGATCCGATTACAATTCCTGCAATTGCACCGCCGGACAATTTCTTTTTCTTTCTAGTATTTTCCCCCAAATTTATGTTCCCATTTGGAGCCTCAGCCGGAGACGACCCTGTGGGACCCGCATTGTCCGCACAGACACTATCGAGAGGCTCGCCGCAAAGGGAAGTGCCCAAAAACGAGTCTTTGGGTTTCCCCACAAGCCCTTTTGGCACAGACCCGTTTAAATTGTTGAAAGAAACATTGAACTGGTCGAGATTGGGTAGGTCAATATCAGGCAAAGGGCCACTAAACTGGTTTTCCTCCAAATAGAGCGTGCGCAAGCGGGTCAAGTTGTTGAGCCCGGGCGGGATTTGGCCGGAAAAGTTGTTCGAGGCGAGATTCAGCCTGACGAGAGACGGGAGGGAGAGAATAGAGTCGGGCACGGGCCCGGTGAAGTGATTGCCCTGGAGATAGAGATTCCGGAGCTGAGATAGCTGGGAGAGATCGTCGGGAAGCGGGCCCGAGAGGTGGTTGAGGCGGAGGCTGAGCGTGCGAAGAGAGGTCAAGTTGGAGATAGTGTTGGCCGGGAGCGCGCCGGAGAGAGAGGAGGCCGGGAGGCGGAGGACGGCGACGCGGTTGTTCAAGCAGCCGACGCCCGGCCAGACGCAGGGGGTGGTGGAGGTGATGTTCCAGAGGAGGGGGCGGCCGCCGACAGACGAGCGGAGGGCGAGGAGGGCGGCCCTATCGGAGGTCAGATCTGAGGGTACGGCGGCG